TAGGGATGAAGCCGTCTCCCTAGCCCAGCTCTACTGTCTTCCAGTCTCCTGAGGGGTGTGTCTATCTCTGCCTGCTCAAGGTTCTATCTAGGAAGAATATCTGGTTAAAACCACGCACAGGGCTGGAGAGATGAAGCAGAATGTTGTATACATAATAAATAAATAAATAATAAATAAATAAATAAATAAAATCTTAAAAAAAAAAAATCACGCCCAAACAGACGCTATCTGACTTGGAGTCTGAGACAACAGATACTACACATCCGATCACTGACTTGCACTGATGAGACTCTTGGTGCAGCCGCTGCTGGAGACATTTTCCTAGTAGCAGCAACTCCTGTACTTTCCATGGAAATGCAGGCAGTACGAGCACACCAGTGTACAGAAGAAACTGAGTCAGGGAGAGGCTGGAAACCCTCTCCATCCCCACTCTGCTAGCAAGAGGGCAGCACACTACTGCCCCTGTGGACCTTAGACAAGGAAGTCTCTGCTTCCGTCGCCCCCTGACCTGTGAACTTGCACTGCTGCAGGAAACCCTGGAGGAATGGCGAGTCTGAGAAGAGCATCTGCTGTAGACGCTCGGCACCCACGTGGAAGACAGAGTTGATGAGGAGACGGCCAGAGAGGTCGGGAAGTAGGGCGGCCAGGTCACCTGGGAGACAGAAGTGTCTTTGTTATGTGGGTGTACCCTTCCCATCCCCTGAGCCAACCATTCCTCCTCACCCCCAGGCCTCCAGGGTGGAAGGACAAACTCATCCCCCTGAACAGGAGACACATAGGAACCTGGAACAATACTCAACCCTTCCTGCTCCAGAGGTGGGCACACCCTCAAGGTGGGCACATGCCCCAGCCCTGCCAACAAAAGCCACCATAATGGTGCCCATTGGTACAAACCCCTACAGTCAATTGGAGTTGCTCGTCATGCCAAACCAATTGAAGCCAAGCCTGGGATTTTTGCTAGAGTTACTGTGCTCATTGTCAGGCAGCCAGGCCTGGGCTCTATCTCTGTGCTCACAAGAGTAAAGTCTACCTGAAATTCAGCATAGAGGAAATAAGCGTAACCAGCTTTACAGCTGCCTTTTCTGGCCCCATAACCTTTAACGCAGGGCTCAGAGCATGCAGTCTGAATGACATCCCTGGCCGCCTGCATGGCCTGTCCCGTGTTCCATCGCCGCCCCTCTGGCCCCAATTGGGTATAACCAAAGCGAATGGAAGTGGGGGCCACCTGCCTCACCTTCCTCCCCAGTGGATGAAGATGAGTTACTCGTGTCTGTCAATAGTTCCTCTCTGGACAGCAGATCCAAGGGGCCCAGGGATGTGGGCCCATCTGGTGGGGCTGGCTCAGTACTTGGAGGTTTTCCTTCTGGGCTCACTGTCTGGCTGGAGGAGGCATCCAGCTGGCTGGCTGTCGGCTCCTCCTTGTCCTCCTCGGCCTGCAGAGAAGGGCTCATCCAGCCTTCTTCTCACACCTCCACTCCAGCCCAAGGGTTCCCATGGGTCAGCGAGTTTGATAGACTGCTTTAGTGACCAACTCTGGAGACGTGATGTCTGTAGCTGGGGGCTCCTGGCTACTTTGAGAGAGGCCTCAGGGCCATCCAGTGATGCGGGCTTATGCCAACGCTCGGTCTCCAAGCAATACTGGCCACCTGTCTCCTATCCATCTCACTCCCCTGCGCCTCCCTTTCTTCCTACTCTGCTATATTTTTCCCTATTTACCTTGTCTTCCCCTTTCCGCCCATCCCCGCCTCGTTCCCCTGCCGAATTTCTGCCCCTCTATTGATATCCCAAGCTCCCCTCTCCATCTCTCTCTACAGGCTCCCCCTCACCCCGTGGTCTGCATCACTGCTGGCTCGGGAGAGGTTCGGGGTGACCCGGCCACGCCTTGAACCCACAGGGCTTGGCTCCTGGCTGCGGTCAGGCGCCCCCGAGGGGGTGATGTCACCGAGTGCAATCACATCCCCTACCTCTTTGGGACTCCTGCAGGGGAAAGGAGGAAGCTGCAGATGGCTGCATCTTTCAAGCCTCGCAGGCTCCGTTCACTGTGTTCTCCTCCCCCCACCCTCATCCCTGGCTTTGCCCAGTAACTTCCGACCACCCAGCACTTAGGAGCTCTAGAAAAAGGTATGTTCAATGTTTATCAAGAGTTTGTTTCTAAGGCGGGCGGTGATGGTGCACGCCTTTCATCCCAGCACTCGGGAGGCAGAGGTGGATCTCTGTGAGTTCGAGCCCAGCCTGGTCTACAAGAGCGAGTTCCAGGGCAGCCTCCAAAGCCACAGAGAAACCCTATCACGAAAAACCAAAAAAACAAAACAAAACAATAACAAGGAAAAACAAAACAAAACAAAGAGTTTGTTTCTGGACCGCAGATCCGAAGGACCCAGGGAAGTCCCTCAGAGACTCCCAAGATCCTCCTCCCACCCCCAACTCACCCAAGACCATTCAGCTGCAAGGGGCAGACATAGTCTTCATCCTCACTGGTGAGGCCCAGCTCCGAGCCATAGCACTGATGGACCAGGTGCCAAAGCTCTCGGGGACTCAGTGTCTAGACATAAGGGATGCAAGTTTGGCTGGAGTCTTGTTCCCACAGCCCAGTCCCAGCAGTTCTCTTGGCTTCCACAAGGGAGCAGCATGGCTACCCACCACAGAGACAACCCATCTCCATCTCACTGGCATCTATCACTAGCCAACCTGTTTCTGCAAAGCCTGGGCCCTGAGAGCTGTAAGCCACACCTTAGACCTCTTAAGTACAAGATGCACTGGCCAGGGAAGCTTCTCATTTTTACTAGGGAAAGGGAAGTCACCTGCTCAAGGTCACACAAATAGCCCACAAGGATTCCAGCCAGATTCCAGAAGAGCCCAAGCTCTCATTCCCTACGCTGTCCTGTCTCTCTATACATCCTCAGTAGACATGCATGGCCTTCCCACTGCCCACGGATTGGCTGGGCCACAATGACAATGAAATAATAGCATCTAATGATAACAGCCAGCCAAGGCCATGGCAGTTGCTGGCATTCTTACAGGCTCTGAGTTAAGTGCTAACTCAAAGCAGATATTAGTGCCATGCTATCAGGATTTCAGGACAAGATGTGCCCAGTAACCCCTTCGAGGTCACCCAGCTGGGAGGTGACGGCACAGAGTCTCAACAATGCCTAATCCACCCAACCTGAGCCCAGCCTGCACCCAGTCCTGGGAGCTATGATGTAAAGATGGAACCCCTTTGGGTTCCACACACAGCTACTTGGCAGTGAGGCTGCAATTGCAGGGCCTGGGTTTCAGGCTTCCTCTGCCCTTGTCCTCTTTGGGGGTACTGCCCACATCAGGCTGAGTGGAGGCCTCTGGTAGTTCTTGCTTTTGCGGATGGTCAGTTTGGAGCTGCCCTGGGGGATGGGTGCCCAGGAGAGATGGAGGCACACAGTCAAGCAGGGGTGGGAGAGAGTCTGAGAGATGTAGGCAGTTTTTGGTGAGCAGGTGTGATGGCCGCTCACCTTCTATACCCCTCCTCCCTGCTAGCAGAACCTTACACGGAGGCTTCCCTGGGCACCGGGGACGGGTCTATACCAATTCCTTCCTCCAATTCCTTCCTCCTTCATCGGGGACTTGGCTTCAAAGCTAGACGCGGGAACTCTTGGCCTACTCCCAGCAAGACCTTTGGAGCGGTCACGGATGTACAAGGCCTGTTGTCCATGCAAGTGTTGACCCTATGAATCTGGGGCCCTCCCTGGTTAATCCCATCCTTCATGCCCACCTTTTCAAGCAGTGCGTTCTGCCAGAGGCGGAAGAGGAGGAGGAAGCAGCGATCACGGGCCCCAAAGGAGGTAAAAAAATGCTGCAAGGAGAGAGGTGTGAGAGCATGGGGAGGAGGCTTCCAGGAGACCCCTCCCCACATCCCTTTGAGCCACCTCCCCATGCCCGGAGCTGAGACAGCCAAGCCCAGTACACTCTTCCAGCCCTCTTTGCTGTCAAGAATGTCTAACTCCTCCAGCCTTGGGCAGACAAAAGACAAAGGGAAGCCTGTTGCTTAGTCTTTCCCTGGTCCTTCAAAGTGACATAGTGAACTTTCAGCCAAATGGGCAAGCACCAGGTGTGGGTACCAGGGAGGAAGAGGCAAGATTTGGAGTTTGAGGTCAACCCGAGCATCACAGCCAGACCCCATCTCAAAAGCAAACCAACAATTGAGGTCTAGGGGCTGAAGAGACGGCTCAGTGGTTAAGAGCGCTTCCTGTTCTTACAAAGGGCCCAGGCTGTATTGCCAGCACCCACTTCAGGGAGCTCATAGCCAACTCTAGTCCCAGGAGATCTGACGCCCTCTTTCAGTTTCCAAGGGCACTGCAGGCATGCGATACACACATATATTCAGGACAAACACCCATACCCACAAAATAAAAAGTAAATACTTTAAAACAAACAAACAAGCCTTTAATGCCAGCACTCGAGAGGCAGAGGCAGGCAGATCACTGTGAGTCCAAGGCCAACCTAACTACAGAGTGGGTTCCAGGACAGCCAGGCCTCCTGCCCCCCCAAAAGAAAAAAGCAAACAAGTAAGATCTAGGGAGATGGCTCGGAGGTGGAGTGCTTGTTCTATAAAGGCCTGGGTTCCAATCCCAGCTTTGGCTGGGTGGGGGGCCCTTGAACTGCAGGATTCACGGGAAATTGTAGGATCACTATGCTGCGGGGCATACCAAGGAGAAACCCCCGCCAAAATGAGGGGCACAGGTACCCGAAACAAACAGGGCAGGCGCAAGGCAAACGGGGTTCTGCTCTGACAAGCGTGTCTGGGTGAATCGGGGATCCTGAGGTGATGCTGGCACATGGCTCCCCACATTAGGTGGGGCTCACCGCTCACCTTCTCACTCTCTGTGCAGATCTGAATGGCGTTGGGGATGAGTTTAGCCGTCTTTTCCTTCTTCAGACAGGTCACTTCCTTCAGCTGGATGGAAATCTAAGGACGGTCATAGGGCAGTGAGAACTTGCCGGAAGCCCCGTGCACCCGGAGGCCCCTCTGTATCCACCCGCGGCTCGACTCACTGTGGTCTCCCAGCGGAAGATGTTGCTGTAGAAACATATCCAGTTCTCGGAGAGGTAGAGGCGGCCCTGGAGGAGGATCTCCCGCTGGAGGGCGCAGGAGTAATCTGAGAGCCGCGGGGGAAGGGACAGGCAGACATCTGAGTCACACAGGCTGGGGCCCAGCAGCCCACAGGGCAGCAGGGGGGGAG